ACAGCCCCCTGCCCTGCGCAGCTTCTCTCCCCCAGTTCACCTCTCCATGCCATGTACCTGCCAAGTTCTGTGGTTCAGGTTATGCAGATTGTTGTGTTAATCCTCAAATCAGTTGTCTAGGTGTACAAGATGGTTTAGTGTTGATCTGGCTCCATTTCAGGAACGAGGGACACACAAAAAAAGCTTCCATGCTGTTCCGCCATCTTGGCCCTTCCCTGCCACTGCCCATTTTTAAATTAGATTTTTTTTTTTTTTTTTTTTTTTTTTTTTTGGTGTTGAGTTAGGAGTTCTTCATTTGTTGTGGATATTAACCCCTTACTGGATATATCATTTGCAAATACCTCCTAACAGTTTGACTTCTTCACATACCTCCTTCAGTATGTTTTCATTTTGTTGGTTTCCTTGCTGTGAAAAAGCTTTTAATTTTTTAAAAATTATTTTTAAATGTCTGTTTCTGACTAGTGGGGGAGGGGCAAAGAGAGAGGGAGACAGAGGATCCAAAGTGGGCTCTGTGCTGACAGCAGAGAGACTGATGCGGGGCTCGAACTCAGGAGCCATGAGATTGTGACCTGAATGGAAGTTGGATGCTTAGCCAACTGAGCCACTCAGGCACCCCATGCCTACTACAATTTGATGTAGTCCAATTGTTTATTTTTGCCTTTGTTCTCTAAGGAGGCCTATTCAAAAACAAAAAACAAAAAACAAACAAAAAAAAAAACATTGCCAAGACTAATGTCCAAGAGTTTACTGTTTTTTAAAGTAGATCTATGGTTTCAGGTCTTACATTTAGGTCTTTAATCCATTTTGAGGTGTTGTTTGTTTCCTTTTGTTTTGTATATAGTGTAAGACAGTGGTCATCTTACTTTTTTTTGCATGCAGCTGTCCAGTTTTACCAGCACCATTATTATCATTATTAAAGAGATGATCTTATCTTCATTGTATATTCTTGCCTCCTTTGTCATAGATTAATTGACCATATAAGCATGGGTTTATTTCTGAGTTTTCTATTCCGTTCTATTGATCTGTGTGTCTGTTTTCATGTCAGGACTATACTGTTTTCATTACTATAGTTTTGTAATACATTTGAAAAACTGGGAGTGTGATACCTCCAGCTTTGTTCTTTCTCAAGACTGCTTTGCGTATTTGGGGTCTTTTGTGATTCCATATCAACTTTAGGAATATATGTTCTCGTTCCATGAAAAATACTACTACTGGTGTTTGATAAGGACTGCACCAAATCTGCAAATTGTTTTAGGTATTATGAACATTTCAATAATACGCCTCCAATCCATGTGTATCTTTCCATTTATTGTGTTTTCTTCAAGTTCTTTCATCTATGTATTACAGTTTTAAGAGTACAGGTCTTGCAACTCTTAGGTTAAATTCATTTTTATGTATTTTCTTCTTTTTGATGTAGTTATAAAGTGATGGTCTTCTTAATTTCTTCTTGCTAGTTGTTAATGTACAGACATCTGTTTCATTTCTGTATACTAATTTTGCATCCTGCAACTTTACTGAATTCATTTATTCTAATAGATTTTTGGTGGAATCTTTAGGGTTTTCTATATACATTATCAATGTTATCTGTAAATAGTGACAGTTGTAATTCATCCTTTTCAATTTGCATGCTTTTTATTTCTTATCTGGTTGTTGTGGCTATGACTTCTGGTACTAGCTTGGAGTATAACAAAGAGTGGACATCCTTGTTCCTGATGTTAGTGAAAAAGCTAACTTTTCAGTTTTTCACTGTGGGGTATCATGTCAGCTGTGGGTTTGTCATATATGGCCTTTCTGAGGTTTCATCTATACTCAGCATATTGAGAATTTTTTATCATGAATGTATGCTGAACTTCGGCAAATGCTTTTTTGCATCTATTTAAATCATATGATTTTTAACTTTCATTTTGCTAATATGGTATGTCATGTTGATTTGAAGAACTCAAGCGTCCTTGTATCCTATAAATCCCACCATACTGTGGTGAATTATCCTTTTAATGTATTTTTGAATTTAGATTGCTAATACTTTGTTAAGGATTTTTTGCATCTATGTTCATCAGGGAATTTTCTTCTTTCTGTAATTTTCTTCTTTTTTTTGTAGTGTCTTTGTTGTTGGTAGGGTAATATTGGGCTTGTAGAATGAATTTGAAAACATTCCTTCCTCTTCATTTTTTTTTGGGGGGGGCAGGGATAGTTTGAGAAGGATTGGTATTAATTCTTCTTTACAGGTGAATTCTTCCAAACATTTAAAGCCATCTGGTCCCAGACTTTTCTTTGTTGGGAATTTTTGGATTATCAATTCAATTTAATTTCATTTTTAGAGAGAACACAATTTGGGGAGAGAGAGAGACACAATCTTAAGCAGGCTCCATGCTCAGCAGGGAGCCCCCACATGGGGATTGCTCCCACGATCCTGGGATCATGACCTGAGCAGAAACCAAGAGTCAGACCTAAAACCAATTGAGCCATCCAGGTGTCCCACCAATTCAATTTTGTTACTAGTAATTAGTTTATTCAGATTTTCTATTTCTTCCTGATTCAGTCTTGGGAGATTTTATATTTATAAAAATCAATTTCTTCTAGGTTGTCCAATTTGTTGGCATATAACCTTTCATAGTAGTCTTTTACAATCCTTTGTATTTCTGTGGTGCTGATTTTAACTCTCCCTTTTTCATTTCTTTATTGTTATTTATTGAAGTCTTTTCATTTCCTTGAGGAGTCTGGCTAAAGGCTTATCAGTTTTATCTTTTAAAGAACCAGCTCTTAGTTCACTAATCTTCCTTATTTTTTTTTGTCTCTATTTCATTTACTTTTGTCATGAACTTTATTATTTCCTTCTTTCCTTCTACCTTTGAGCTTTGTTATTTTTAGTTCCTTTATGTGTAATGTTAGATTATTTGAGATTTTTCTTGTTTCTTGAGGTAGGCCTGTGTAGCTATTAAAAAAAAAAAAATTCCCTCATAGAACTGGTTTTGCTATGTCCAAAAGATTTTGGAATATTGTTTCCATTTTCATTTGTCTCAAGGTATTTTTAAATTTCTGCTATGATTTCTTTTTTTTTTTTTTTCAACTTTTTTATTTATTTTTGGGACAGAGAGAGACAGAGCATGAACGGGGGAGGGGCAGAGAGAGAGGGAGACACAGAATCGGAAACAGGCTCCAGGCTCCGAGCCATCAGCCCAGAGCCTGACACGGGGCTCGAACTCACGGACCGCGAGATCGTGACCTGGTTGAAGTCGGACGCTTAACCGACTGCGCCACCCAGGCGCCCCTCTGCTATGATTTCTTTATTGACCTATTGGTTATTTAGTGGCATCTTGATTAGCCTCCATGTATTTGTGTTCTGTTTCTTTTATTTTTGTAATTGATTTGTAGTTTCATACCATTGTGGTTGGAGAAGATGCTTGCTTGATTTCAATCTTAATAGTCTAAAACTTATTCTTTGGTCTAATGTGATCTATCCTAAAGATCAGTCCATGCACACTTGAAAAGAATGTATATGCTGCTGCTATTCACAGCCCATTACATCCAATATCTGTTAAGTACGTCTGGTCTAACGTGTTATTCAAAGCTACTGTTTTGTTTTTTTTAATTGATTTTCTGTCCAGATGATCTATCCATTAATGTAAGTGGGGGTGTTAAGTCCCCTACTAATATGGTATTTCTATTTCCCCTTTTATGGATGTTAATATTTGATTTATACGTTTAGGTGCTGCTATGTTAGTTACATAAATATTTACAACTGTTATATCCTCTTGTTGGATTGATCCCTTAATCATTACATAATGTCCTTCTTTGTCTCACGACTGATATGTGTTGCTACCTTTTCAAAAAATTTCCATTTGCATGGAATATCTTTTTCTATCTCTACATTCAATCTATAATGTATCTTTAGGTCTGAAGTGAGGCAGCATTCTTGTAGGCAGCATTCAGAGGTTTTTTTTTTTTTAATCCATTCAGTCACCTTATGTAAAAATGAGAAATGAATTACACTAATCTTTTTGTCCTCTATTTTACATTTTATAGTTCCTATAATGATGAAGACCTAAAACTTTGATATGATTAAATAGAGCTAGGGTTTCTCTGGAACTTAGGTCAACCATAAACCATTGCATATCTTTTTGGTTTTTTTTCAAAGAATATATATATTTATACTGTTTTAGACTGAATTTTTTCTGTGTCCCCCTACTCCCTTTTCATATGTTGAAGTCCTAACCCACAGTATGGCTATTTTTGGAGTAAGGAACTAATTAAGGTTAAATGAAATCATAAGGGTGGGGTCCTGTTCAGAGTAGATTAATGTCCTTATCAGAAAAGATACCAGATAGCTCTCTTTCTCTCTCTAGTCTCCTTCCCTCACCCCAAAGCACACACTGAGGAAAGGCCCTCTGCAAGCCAGGAAGAGCATATTCAACCAGAATGAATCAGCTGGAAATTTAATCTTAGACATCTGGCCTCCAGAACTGTGGAAAATTAGTTTTTTAAGTAACCCAGTTTATGGTATTTTGTTGTAACAGCTCAAGCCGACCAATAGACTCTTCAAGCAAAGGTAAATACTAGCAGAAAGGCTAATGCCTAAAAACATCATGCCCTTACTTCTGCCATTTTTAATTTCTATTTATCTGTCATTAAGTGTACTAATTGTGATATCACTAGTGCTAGACATATAATATTTTAAACAATTACATTTTAATATAGCTATTTCTTACAAACATTTCTTACAAACATGAAATGGCTGGAATATGGGATATGGCTTCCAAAGACCAATTCCCAGGGTAAAATGCCTAACATTTTAAGAACATGATACAAGTTGGCAAACCAATCTTCAGGTATTTGAAATTTAAAGTTTTATGTGCTCTTAAACACTGTATTTATTCTTAATAAGATCAATGTACAATGAAACACTTCAGAAACTGCTGCTAGGGATGGCAAAACTATAGCAAACTGGAGGTACTTAAAAATGAAGAGCTATACAAATATGTAAATATGATTTACTACTTTACCTGTTGAAGTTCCTGCTCTCTTTGCTCATGTCTCATTTCCATCTGCTTAATTTTCTTTTCTAAGCCCATGAAATGTTTCATTTCTGGTGTATGGTTTTCTCTGGCTTCTCTTAATTCTTCTAGGAGTTTTGTAATCTAAAATTGAGGTATGAAGTAAATGAAAAACTGGTAACAAGAAAAATCATTTATTTTTACCAGGTAGTCTTAAGAATGTTCACCATATTTTCTTTGTATAAAATTTCTCTAGGGAAGAGGCTTCTTGCTAATAAGAAAGATATCTTGAGTTGTTAGGGAATGCAAGCTATTAATTATTCTATCTACAGGAAGAAAAGGCTCCTCTTAGCTCTGAAGTGACCTCACAATCCAGATGATTCCAGATGACTGGATCACTTCCTCCCATGTATGCCAGGCTGATTATAGCATTAAAAATGAAGGTGGGTACTGTCTGTGGTATATTCAGCTTTGCTACAAAGTATTTAACAAGGCTGATTACTTCTAGGATTAATCAAACATTTAAAGCACCCTACCCAGTATAGCTTCCAACACACACAGAGTTCAGTAAATATGAATCCTCCTTTTGTCAACTTTCTATAATTCTATCTGTAATCCTCTTCTGGCTCTTATCACTTTATAATAATTCATTCCACAAATACATTTATGTTTATAAAAGAGAGAATATACTGAACTCTTTCTGTTCTAGCTGTTGTCTTAGGTCTTGAGGATATAGAGATGACCTAGTCATGGAGGTTACAGTCTTGTGTGGTACCTCCTTTTTCATACCATGGTCTGCAGAGAAAATGGTGATATTTTCATGGTGCCAGTCAGTAAAATAGAGGGGATCTGAGATATCTTTACATTGGGCTTGGTGAAACAACTGCATTTTCTTTATACCATATATTCATAATTATTTCCTGTTAGTATCAAAAGGCAAAATAATTAACAAGTAAAAATGGCTAAAATTAACAAATTCAACCAAATTTTCCATGGAAACACCCAGTACCTAATAACACTACAAAAAAACCCAACCCCTCCCCAAACTGCCACTCTTTCTAGTTTCAAATGTGAAACTATAAGCCTACATAAGTCTAAATATTTATATGTGGGATATCCATGGGATATCATCAGTGACCACAGAAATTTGCAGACTTTAATTGGAATGATTTGCAGAAAGGTTAGGGAGAGAGACCCTAGAGAACATGCTGCAGTGATGAGTGCTAGGCATAAAATCTTCTATGTCAAAACAATGATTACTAAAAATTATAACACAAAACCAGTGATTGCTGAAGAAATTTGTAAGAGGCATTGTCATACACGTAATCATCAAATATCACTTCAGCTTCTGTAAACTTAATGACTGAAAAGTGACTTTGGGTTTATAATGAGACAACATTTCCAGTAATTGCTATCTTATGATCCATAGGGAATCCATTCCTGGTACACCAGCTGGGATGTTCTGCTCTAGTGAAAGCAGCAGTCAAGTGAATGAGAATTCTAATATAGTATGTTGTTATGGAGAGATGACCAAGTAGCAATGAGGTGATGAGTGGGGAATACCTAACTGGAAGCAGAGCTAGGTTGCAGGACTCTTAACCTGAGGCAGCTGTCTTTGAATAAAGTTTTAAAGGGTAAGTAGTAGAGTCATGACATTATCATGTGCGAGGTGCTATGCTAAGTACTTTACAGATATTGTCTCAGTTAATTTTATCAAGTTTTACATTTATTTTCTGATTCCCCAAATAAAATATAAGCTCTGTAAGACCAAAGATTTGTCTATCTTGTTCTCAGTATTCCTAGCACATAAAGCATGCCAGAGCACAGGTGTTTAATAATTATTCATGAATTAATGAATTCACCAATGATTAAACATTAGTCTATAAATTACATAAATTTAGAAATTTATATTTAGACAAAAAGTAGGAAAAATTTCCCTTCATCAGTACCTACTTAAAAGCATCTTTAAAAGTATAATTAAAGTGAATGTATGTATTTTAAAATCCTTGTATTTTAGTGAATTTACCCTATGGGAGTAACTGGATACATGAGATGAATGATCAAAAATTATTCCTGCTTCTTGAATACTATGGAAAAAAAATTGGCAAATACCTGATGTCCAGAAATACAGCATTAGTAAAATATTAATTAAGAGCCCGGGACCTGGAGTAAGAGGGTCTTGGGTTCTGATGCTGATACTTTTTACACATTGCTTGGTAACCTGAAGCAAATTATTTTATTTTTCTTAGCATCAATATTCATCTATAAAATGGGAATAATAGTACCTACCCTTTTGGGTTATGGTGAAAACTACACAGAGCACTTACCACAGTGCTTAGTACATACTAAATAATAAATGATAACTATCATTATGATTTTGACTATTATAAAGTAATATAAAAAAAGTGTTAATAAAGGAAGAGTGACGTCATCAAGGTGGTGACATAGGTAGTTCCTGATGCTGTTTCCCCTCATAAGAACTAACAATTATTCATGGACTAGATAGATGCAACTGAGAGAATGATATAATATGAGGGTGAGGCTGAAGCATCCCCCTGCATCACAGAGACCAAGACAGACTACATCATAAGGGTAAGCAGAGTGGCTACATGCTGGCTGCACTGCCCCTCCCTCAGGCCCAGGCAGCACAATATGGAGAGGTCTCCCCGGGACTACCCTTTCTCCATGGGAAAAGACAGCCTGGGTTGGACATCCAACTCCCCCAGTGTTGTGGGTCACTTCTTGAGAGCCCCCGCATGTCTTTATCCCATGGGGACTAATCACTAGGAATCTGATTGTGATGGAGATGTGGGGAAGGGCTTGTAACAACTGGCAGCTAGATCTTGGCAGACTGAATTCATACTTGCAGTGCCCAAGTAGTAATCCCAACCAGCAGCTTTGCTCACCTATAGATCCAAGTCGGTGGTATAGTCTGACTGTGGAATTTGGTGGGGTGCAGGTCTGCCTGACTCAGGTCCTCAAACAGAAAGATTTGCCAGCCCTCAAGCTGGGACTGCATCCACTCAGGCAGGGAAGCTAAGCCACACTTTGGCACACTGCTGAGTGAAGATCACAGTGCTGCTTGACCAGAAAGCCTGAGTAGAACACCTGAAAAGCTGGGTAGCCCAGCAATACTAGAATAGAGTCCAGCAGTCAGAGTTGATAGTCTGCAAAGCCAATGGCCTATCTGGCCAGGGAACCTGGGACACTGGTTGGCTTGAGTCAAGACTACAGTCAAAAAGCTTTACTGGCATTAGAGCAGTTTCTTACATTGCTCCTGGGCCAGGAAACTCATTTGAAGCTTTGCCCATCGCTGAATACAGCTTTCTGGCTGCTCAACCAAAGAACCTAACCAGAGCATATGGGAAGCTGCAGAGCATCCCATGAGAGTCCTGCATACAGTGGCACCTGGGGAGAGCCACAGGCTATGCTTCCTGTCCATCAACAGAGCATGTGGCCCTGTCAGCCAGAGAATTCAGTACACAATCTTGCTTGATTTGTGTGCCCAGACAATGAACTACACAGGCACTGGGGCCTATCCTGTCACTCCACCAGGACAGAGAAGCTAATTCATAGCCCCATCTATTGCTGAGTATATATCCAGTTCCCAAGAGTCTAATAAAAACCTTACGAGAGAAGCTGGGCAACCATGAAGTCCTTCCTAAAGACTTATTAGGCAGGGAACCAAGCCAAAATTTCTATCCAACTACATTCAACTAGTGACACCTCCCCACTCTTGACCTCAGAGAGTGAGGTCTTGGGCAGTAGCTACCTGGGCAGTAGCCTTGGCCAAAAAACAAACCCTGACAGCAAGCCACCCCTGCCCAAGGACATCACCACCAGACACATCCAGAAACCCAAAGTGCACTGACTGTTGAACACTGTTTATGCCAAAGTGAATCTGTAAAGTCTGGAAGAGGAGACTACTTACTCAAATACAGACACCAACCAAAGGAACCAAGGATCTGAAAATCTGACACCACCAAAGAAAAGAAAGCTCCAATAAACTAACCCTAAAGAAATAGAGATCTGTGAACTCTATGATCAAAGAATTCAGAATAATCCTCCTTAAAAAGTTTACACAACTACAAGAACATACAGACAACTAAACAAAATTAGGAAAACCATGCATGAACAAAACAAGAAGTTCAACAAAGAAATAAAAACCATGAAAAAAATACCCCAAAACAGAAATACCAGAGCTGAAGAATACAATGACTGTATAGAAGAATTCAATAGGGACTTGACCATACAGAAGAAAGCCAGTGATCTAAAAGACAAGTCATTTAAAATTATACAGTCAAAAGAGCAAAAAGAATGAAAAAGCCTATGAGACGTATGGGACACAATCAAAACAAGTAGTATCTGCATTATGGTAATTCCACAACAAGAGAAAGAGAAAAGGACAGAGTATATTTAAAGCAACAATGGCTAAAACTGACTTTTTTGAACAAATAAAAGCTGAGCGAGTTCTTCACCACTAGACCTGCCTTACAAAAAGTGCTAACAGGAGCTCTTTAAGTATAAATAAAAGAAAATTAACATTGTAAAAACATAAGAAGTTAGTGTAAAACTCACTGGTAATGGTAAATATATAATCAAAGTTAGATTGTATAACATGATAACAGTGGTGTGTAATCCACATACAACTGTAGTTTAAAAATTAAAAGACAAAAGGGATAAAAATAACCATAACTATAATAATCTGCTATAAATTACAGGATATAAAATACAGGTAAACTGTAACATAAATAACCTAAAATGTGAGGGAAAGGAGAAAAGTGTAAAGTTTAGGAATTTTATTGAAGTTATCAATTTAAAATAAGGTATTATAATTTGAAGATATTTTATATAAGCCTCATGGTAACCATTAGGGAAAAACCTATAGTATTTACACAAAATAAGAGAAGTTAAAGCATACTGATACCAAAAGACATCAAAACACAAAAAAGATACCAGGATATGAAACAATGAAAAATGGACCTACAAAACAGCCAGAAAATAATCAACAAAATGGTGATAAGTCATTACCTATCAATAACTGCTTTAAATGTAAATGGATTAAATTATCCAATCAACAGAATGGTTGAATGGATGAGTAAGATCTAATGATATATTACCTGAAAGAGACTCACCTTAGTCTTAAAGGCACACATAGACTGACAGTAAAAAGAGACAAAAAAAGGTCATTACATAATGATGAAGAGGTCAATATCAATCCAAGAAGATGACATAGTAATTGCGTTTGCACTCAACTTCAGAGAGCCAAGTAACAGAGCCAGAAGAAGAAATAAACAGCAATACAATAACAGTTGGGGACTTCATACCCAACTCTCAACAACACATTAATCATCCAGGCAGTGAATAATAGCAAATTTGAACACTATAGACCAAATGGATATAATAGACACATACACAACACTGAATCTGGCAACAGCAGAATAAACATTCTTCTCAAGTGCACATGGAATATTTTCAAGGACAGACTGTATGATAGGCCACAAAATAAAACTTACACATGCAAGAAGACTGAAATCATACCAACTATATTCTCTGACCACAATGGTGTGAAAATCGGCAGTGATAAGGAAAACTGGAAAACTCATGAATACATGGAAATTAAACATGATTCTCCTTAACAACCAATGGGTCAAAGAAGAAATTAAAGGGGAAATAATGTGTCTTGAGACAAGCAAAAATGGAAACACACAAGAAACCAAAATTAATGGGATGTAGCAAAAGCAACTCAAAGATGGAAATTCACAGCAATTCACACATTAAAAATCAAGAAGGCCTCAAATAAACAATTTAAGTTTACACTTAAGGAACCAGAAAAAGAATGATAAGCTGAGCCCACAGGTAGAAGAGAGAAGGATCAGAGCAAAAATGAACAAAACCAAGAACAGGAAAATAATAGAAAAGATGAACAAAACTAAGAATTCGTTCTTTGAAAGGACAGACATTGACATTGACATTTGTCCATTGACAAATCTTTGGCTAGATTAACCAAGGAAAAATGAGGACTCAAATCAATGAAATTATATATGATAAAGGAGACATTACAACAGATACCATGGAAATACAAAAGATCACAAAAGGCTACTATGAACTATATGCCAACAAACTGCACAACCTAGAAGAAATGGAAAAATTCTTAGACACATACAACATAACAAGACTGAATCAGGAAAAAAAAAAAACCCAAATCTGAACAGTCAATTACTACTAAGGGGACTGAATCCATAATAAAAAATCTCCCAAAAAAGAACAGTCCAGGACCAGATGGCTTCATAAGTGAATTTTACCAAACATTTAAAGAATTAATGCTAATCCTCTTCAAACTTTTCCAAAACACAGAAGAGAGGGAACACTTCCAAATTCATTTTACAAACCAGCCAAAAACACTGTCAGACAACTACAGACCACTATTTCTGATGAACATAAATGAAAAACTTCTAAATACAATACTAGCAATTTGAATTCAACAGTGAATTAAAAATATTCACCATGATCAAGTGAAATTTATCTCTGGGATGCAAGATGGTTCAACATACAAAAATCAAGGTAATACATTACAAGGTAATAATAGAATGAAGAAACAAATAATATTACCATCTCAATAGATGCAGAAAAAAAATTTGATAAAATTTAACATCTGTTCATGATAAAAGCTATTAAATTAGGTATAGAAGGAATGTACCTCAATACAATAATACACTATATGATAAATCCACAGCTAATATCATATTCAATGGCTAAAGCTTGAAAGCTTTTTTCTAAGTTCACAAACAATACAAGGGTGCTCACTCTCACTACTCCGATTCATTATAGTACAAAAGGCCCTAGCCAGAGCAATCAGGCAAGAAAAATAAAGGGCATCAGGATAGGAAAGAATTAAAATAGTCTCTATTTGCAGGTGACATGATTTTATATATAGAAAATTCTAAAGACTCCACCAAAAAACTGTTAGATCTAATCAGTGAATTCAGTAAAGTTGCATGATACAAAATTAACAAAGATCAGTACTGTTTCTGTACATCAATAATGAACTACCTAAAAAAGAAAATGCTACCATTCAAAAAGTATCAAAAAACAGGATAATACTTAAAAGTGAATTTAAACAAGAAGGTGAAAGATTTCTACACTTAAATCTACAAGACATTGATAATGGAAGTAGATACAAATAAATGGAAAGGTAGATAGAGTAGAGGTAGAAAGGCAGAGATGCATTACAAACAAGCAGTAACCAAATAAAACAGAATTTGCTAGTGTTAAAAGATGTATATTGTAGTTTCTCTGTGGTCAAAAAGAGACAGGGGTTTACCCTCCTTTCTTAAACAACCAGAACAACCGAGGACATATGAAACTGTTTTCAAACATCAACTTAACAGCACTGCACGATGGTGATTCATGAGAGAAGGGAAACACAATAGATGAACTCAATGACTGCCTACTTTGCTGCCCAGAGGGTTTCGAAGCCAGTGGAAATGGCAGCCTGAACAATCTGGGAGCTAGTGTAGGGGTGGGAAAATGAGCTGTTCCCATCAGCCTAAGAGAAAATCCCTTTGAGGACCCTCAGGAGGTTATCAGTAGTGGGAATAAATAAGCCCTGTTAACATAACTATTATATACTGCTTATTGAAAGGCAGATTGTCATTTCATTCAAAAGATGGAGTGTTTTAGTTTTCTAGTAAATAGGCTTGAAAATCATGTATTGCAGCTTTTTTATTTCCAAACTATTTTAGCTATTCTTAAACTAAGAACACACTGTAACTTAACTAAAAGTGACCTTAATCTTTATCTTGCAAACATTAGAACATACTTCCTTTTATTGCTTTTCCCCAAAATTTTACCTTAGGTCTGTGAAGTTCTGTTAACTTATTGCTTATACAACAAAGTTTATGTACATCTTAAACACTGAAAAGAATGCACATGTTGAACCACAGCCTTTCAATTACTGAAACACGATTTTTTAAATTGACAGTTATGTAACTGGAGTATTTTTATATTAATCTTTTCATAATGCAATTATGTTTTTCCTGTATGGTTTAATAAATTCTTGAATAATAAAATGTGGTGGATACACTTCAAAGAATGGAATGCACAGTTGTCTGGTGTTGTACACTTTCTAGAATCAAAGCGATCTTAGAGTAATAAAAACGGTGAGTTTCCAGAAAGATCTATCTCCTATAATGTTACTGGGGATCCAGCATCACTGTAATGACTACTTTAGTTATTTCTTAACAGTATCAAATACTTAATACAAAAATGACCTTAACCATCCAATTTTTCCTCCTAAAACAATCAAAAGAACCAAATGCCCTTCTCCCTATTTCCCCACTGCCCAGAAAAATCTCAAAATCAAATACAAATATATAAGAAACTTATTTACCCCTTGAAGAGTTTCATCTGGGCAAAGCAGATTTACCATAAACAAGTTATTATTTTTTTGATGTGATACTTTCAGGTTATTTCCATTTATACATTTAAGTTAACAAAAATTAATACAAAAATAAGAATATGATTGAAATGGCTAAGAAACAGGTTTTTAGTACAATATTTTTGTTACTTCTTACCTCTTTCTGTAAGATTTCTTCTCGAACTTGAGAAACTACCAGAGACTCCTGTTTACCCTGCAGTTCGTTAACTTGATTTTGGAAATGTTTTAGAAGTACCTATGAAATTATGTTAGAAGTACTGAGTTAATAGAAGTCTTCTCAAACATTATTTGAAAAATATCAGAAAGCCAACTAATGACGTGTTTTTGTAGCAAAAAAAAATCCTAATATTTTTAAATTACCAAATTCTAACAAAAATAAAATGTCACAGGAATCAAGTTCATTGAATAAATTAAGCTGATTGAATACAGTCATTATTTTCTTTCAATATTTAATGGAAAGTATCACATGTATGACAAATAATGGCTGTGTAACTACGTGGCTTCTTTATCTCTAATACTTTTCTTCTGAAGGCCTGAAAAATACCTTTTAAAATAAACCTCTGTAAAGTCTAAGCATTTTGAAGATAGCCAATACTGTCTTTATTACTTTGTGATTAAGTAGAATAATAGCACAAGCCTATTAATAAGCATGAAATAAATGTCATGCTTATATTTTTTTGGCAACCTGAAATAGATACTTTCATCAAGGATCTTAAAACTTAGGAAAATATGCATCTATTACCTCTAATACTTTTACTGTTTTTACCATCAGACTATGCTGACTTCCATTTAACTTATAATTTACAATATTATGTTTAGAACTCTGGGAAAGTAACACTTAGGGCAGGCACTATGGCATAATGACACTACTTTTCCCACCTCTCCCAACTACATAATATATAATAACTTGATATAATGTTTATACTGCCCACTGACACCCTACTCCTATGGGGAAAAAAACCAGAGAAGTTATCTGCAACTGCTGTACAAAGATTGGGTGGCTCAGTCGGTTAAGTGTCCGACTTGGGCTCAGGTCATGATGTCGCTGTTCATGGGTTCTGGGCTGACAGCTCAGAGCCTGGAGCCTGCTTCGGATTCTGTGTCTCTCCCTCTTTCTGCCCCTCCCCCACTCATGCTCGCGCGCGCGCTCTCTCAAAAATAAATGTTAAAAAAAAAATAAAAAGCACTTTCTCATTGAAATATTAAAATAGTCAAAGTTCTTTGTTTGAATTTAAATTACAGACCTCATTTCACACTAAAATACCCCAAATGCTTCAACATGCATCTTCTTACAAGGACATCTCACAAAACCACAACAGCATTTTCTTTAATGTTTATTTATTTTGAAAGAAAGAGAAAGTGTGTGTGTGTGTGTGTGTGTGTGTGTGTGCACGCACATCCATGAGTAGGAGAGGCAGAGAGAAAGGGAGAGAATGAATCCCACACTCAGTGCAGAACTATAATTTGGGGCTCGACCCCATGAGATCATGACCTGAGCCCAAATCAAGAGTTGGATGCTTAACTGGCTAAGCCACCCAACAACATTTTTATGCCTAAAAAATTTACAATAATCTCATAATATCTAATACCCAGTCCATACTTAAACTTCTTAGTTGAGCAATTTGTTTTTAATCAAGATACTATTAAATGATTATTAAAGGGAGAAATAATGGTAAGATAATTGTTTCTTGAAGTCTTTCTCCCTCAGCTTGTTTTTAAAAATTAAAACCTAGAGAAAAGAACACAGTGGACCTATATTCTTTAATTTGATTTACCAACTGCTAACATTTTTGCCATATTTGCCTTATTTTTCTTTCTTTTCCTGGGATACACCATTTGAAAGTAAGTTGCAGATACAAATTCTATTTTAATGCTGTTTTTTTCAACTTGCTACCATCACAGTAGATAATCATAGATATTCCTTGAAGATATACACACTAACCAAAAAGGAAGATACACTTTTTTAAAGAAATGTGGATAAGCTTTCAGCATATTCTGTCATAATTCTAAGAAGACTGTTTCATAATGGCTACAAGCTGTGTGCATATCTCTGTTCATTATTTTATCCCTAGTGCTTCATTGTCTATAGACCCCGAATCATTATTTGTTTAATGAATGAAAGATAAATGGGCAAGAGAATGACTAGGATAATTACTTGTCAGCTGGGACTTGGGTAGAGGGAAATGATTCAACATTCAAGTTCAAGTACTCAGTTCTCAACCACAAAATGTGATTGACCATACTTCTACCATTTGTTACAAATGACTTAGGAGAAGAACTATTTGAGAAATACAGGGACAAAACTGTGAAACCACTTATTTAGAGAGAATAGTTTTAAAGTAGAATAGTTAAATGGTAACGGCATCCTCTCCTACTAAAAAAAAATCAAGTCAATATTTTCTCATTTCTACTAAAAAGTGAAGTTAAATGTTCTGTTAACAGTCCTGAAAAAAATAATTTTAAAGCCAAGGAAAGTTTGTTAAAGTTGTCTACCTCTTGAGTTGCTATTTTACGATTTAGTTCAGCTACTTTGGAAGAAGAATTTTCTACTGCATTTTGGCAAAGGAGTTTCTCTACTTCCCTCTGATGAGATGCTTTGAGAGATGCAATGTGTGCTGCAGTATCTTCCTTGACCCTGTAGAGCAAATCAAACAAAATCACACATAAAAACAGCTCTTCAATTCAGAGTTAGCATAAAAATAGTGTAGGAAGCTTGGAAATTAAAGAGGCATAGGGAAAGAACACCATTACTTACTGCACTTTGTCAGGTGCTTTATACATTATTGCTTGTGAGTTCTTACAACCACACCATGAGCTCACTATTATTTACTGAATTTTATAAGGGCAGAGTTGAGTTTTGGAAAGAGTGATGTCTCTGGAGTTCAGATTAGGAAGTTGCAGAGCTGGGGTTCAAGCCCAGCACAGTGTTAGACCTCAAAATCTGGGCCTTCCACTGGATCCCTAGCCTGGGGCTGTACTTTCTGAGAGAATGGAAGGTTCTGAATGTTCTGTCTGGATTTAAAGCAAGGGCCTAATATTTTATCTTCTTTTGTTTATTTACTTTTTTATTTAAAAAAAAATTTTTTTTACGTTTATTTATTTTTGAAGACAGAGAGAGAGCACAAGTGGGGGAGGGGCAGAGAGAGAAGGAGACAGAATCTGAAGCAGGCTCCAGGCTCTGAGCTGTCAGCATAGAGCCTGATGCGGGACTTGAATTCACTGACTGCGAGATCATGACCTGAGCCAAAGTCAGAAGCTCAACCGACTGAGCCACCCAGGCGCCCCTATTATTATTTTTAAATGTTTATTTATTTATTTTTAATGTTTATTTATTTTTGAGACAATGTGAGAGACAGAGTGCAAGCAGCGGAGGGGCAGACAGAGGGAGGCACAGAATCTGAAACAGGCTCCAGGCTCTGAGCTGTCAGCATAGAGCCGGATGCGGGGCTCGAACTCACGAACCGTGAGATCACGACCTGAGCTGAAACTGGACACTTAACTGACTGAGCTACCCAGGCGCCCCAATGTTTACTTATTTTTGAGAGAGAGAGAGATTGAGGGGGAGGGAGAGAGAGAGAGAGAGAGAGAGAGAATGAATCTGAAGCAGGCTCCAGGCTCTGAGCAAGTGTTCAGCACAGAGCCCAATGTGGGGCTCGAACCCACAAACTGTGAGATCATGACCTGAGCTGAAGTCAAATGCTCAACTGACTGAGCTACCCACACACCCCAAAAAATGATAGGATTTTATTCAAAGCAGATATATTTAGTGACTCACTGTTGCTATAAACAAATTTATCAGCTGCTTATTTGACTATATGAACATTTATTCATGGAAACAGTATGGAAAAGCATAAAACTCTAAAGCACTTATGACACAACTGAACTAAAGTAAAAAACAAAAAACCAAATAAACAAAATACCCCACTGGCCTAAATCTGGGATTAGGAAAGGTTATTCTTTACTTATCAGGCCCAGAGCTGCTTGAAAAACAGATTAAGCAATACTAAAAAATTATAAATTATATATAGGAAAATTTATAGGATAAATTTCAATTTTTTCTAGGAAAGAATGCAATTCTTTCCAAATAGCTTTATTTTTATTATCACATTGAGAACTAAAAACACAAGGTTTCAATCTGGAAGCATTCAGACACAGCTGCCCATCATTCAATAAGCATTTGTCCGGTGCTTGCTATGCTCACTCTGCTCCTTTACCACGTTGCAAAGAAGTATAATCTTATATCAGTTCTCAAGGAGTTACTAGGCACTGTCTGATTAGTGCTTTCTTGATATTCAATACTGGCACATGGTATATAAGTTATGGAGGAGCTGGAAGTGAGAGCAGGAAATTTCCTGAGAGGCTCTAGGAGATATTTTGTGGAAGAGGTAGCACTTGAAACATGAACGAGCAAAATGTAGTAAAAGACCTTCAGCAACTAAGGCCCACACAGAAGTCTTGTAATGGTGATGGCACTTGAGAAGCCACATGGAGTAAGTTAGTCGTGATACTTCAGGAAGCTGGGATTCAGTGGAGGGCAGAGTAACTCAAACACAGGGATATTTAAGAATATTAATGGTTTTTAAGCAAAATGATTAGGGGAGACAGAAACTAAAATCAGGGAGATTAGGGTGGGATGCTGTAGTAAAGCAAGTAAGGCTGCACTACAGTAAGTGAAAGGAGACCTATTTATAAGGAAGCACCCCCATAAACTGTGAGCCCAAGAAATAAAGGAAGTAAAAGCTGGACTTGACAACTGAAAAAATATGGTGCTAGATGGAGATGGGGAAGCTGTGAGGGGAGCTAGTTTATAGGTAAAAAAAGGAATAAAATTTGAGATACTACTGAGTCCAAGAGGAATAATCCAAAAAACCCCAGTAGATTTAACATCTCTGCTCAGGGAAGAAAACAGCCTTGAAAAGTAAATCGGGTTCGTGGTTCATAGAAGCCATAAGAATACATGAATTTAGCAATGGATAAAGAACAGAGAATAAACAGAAAGTTGAAAATAAACCCTGGTAGAAGTCTGGTTTTTGTGGAAGGAGAATGAAGAGTCAGGAGTCGGTTAAAGGTACAGGAGAGGCGTACTAGTCACACTCCCTAGTGTGAGTCATGGAGGTTATGGGAGGAAACCATTTCAAGAAAGAACAATGTCAAGGAGAATGAAAATGGAGAAAACACCACTGGACCAGGAAAGAGCACTACTGAGAGATCACATTTAAAAGAGTGCTGAGGATAAGAGTCCCGGTTAAGAGGAAGTGAGTTGCAAATAAGACGCTACTTGTGGAAAAGTGTTCCTGACAGAAAGATGAGTAGAGACTTGCTTGGTTTGATGATGGACAAAAAGATCTGAGCATGTTAGAAGGCTCAGAGGAAAGACAGTAGACAGTACCTGGTGATTCTGAGAAGGAATGAACACAAAAGTTCTTTAAGGCATGAATGGAAATGGATGTGATCACTAGATTAACTTTAAGAGTTATTTTGGAAAAGAGGACCTTTCCTCTTAGAATGTCAGCTAGTTTTAATAATAGCAGTTTTCTGCAGTCTGCCCATGGCAGTCATAAATGATGACATTCATTTATAAGAAGGCCCAGCGGGTCAGCTTATTAACACCATCTGGAAAACTGCAGAAAGACAACATCAGTCAGCCCAAGCACATGGTTTGGGCTGACACAGAGATTCAGGCTTATCAGGATCTGCCCTTCAACAGGTAGAGGATCCTACTCTGAAAGAGATCTATGCTTAGCAATGCAATACAACTTCATAAAATTTGATGATGAATTCAGTTGAGGGTAAAATTGATAATCTAGAGGAAATCTATCTCATAATTTTGGCATTTTTATCTTTTTATATCCCCATATATTTATTTACAAATTCACATTTTACCTTTTCATGGAATTTTCAAATTGGGTCACTGCTGCTTCAGATTTCATCTTCAGCTCATTCCTCTCCACAATTAATCTCTCCAGTTCATTTTTCAATCTGCAGTTTTCTTGTAAAACCTCTGAAACATGGGAATCAGTAAAAGTGTGTGGTTGGTAACGCTTGCCATCCAGGGTTCCAGGGAATGCGTTAGCACTTCCTTTACCTGAATGCAAACCATCTTTCTTCCCCCTTTTTGCAGTCACTTCCTCTCTACCCTTAGAGTTCTGATTAGACAGCATCATCCTTCTCTCCTTCTGGAGCCTCTCCACAGTTTTTGAAAGGTCTTGTATTTCTCTCCCCTTCGCAGCCAGCTCCTCGTTGAGTCGCACCAGTTTAGCTTTAGCATGAGCCTGTTCTACCTGGAGTTCTATAGACTGGAAATCGTTACCATCTTTATCGCTTTTCTTGAGTTCCAATTCAGCATTCTGATGTTTAAGAATGTCTATTTCAGCTTCAAGGTTTCTTACAGTGATTTGATGGGCTTCCTTGATGTCGCCGAGCTCCTTCTCTAGTGCTTCAACCCTGGAGGAGCTGTCAGGCTGGTTCTGGGGTGCTTCCTTCAATTTGCAGGCAAGTAGCTGCTCCTGCTCCTCTAGTCTCTGTTCATACTGGATCTGCAGAAAGGAATCCATGTAACGTCAAACCACTGCTAAGCATGTCACTTGTTCCCAAAGCCCAGCATTCTACTAGGTCCTACCTATTCCTTCATTCAGGCATTCATTACATGTTCTGATGCTTCTAGCTCTGTTCCCTGAGTCAGTCCAATGGGCTGAAGTCCTAATCTTTAAAGAGCATAACGTTATATGTTCTCAATATGTTGTATAATTTCATAATTAACGTGTTGCTTTATAAACATTATATAACATGTTTCTGTACACCCCAAAACTTATTTTAAGTATCACAATCAAACCTATTATTGTGTACCTTTCTCTATGCAAACTGACAAACTATACTCTGAGGATAAACAGGGAAAGATATCGGGGGCGCTGAAATCTTTAAGAGATAGCCCATTTTCAACTTGCTAGTATCAATTTAGGAATCTCATAGGGAGTAAGTCAGCTTGGATTTGTCACACTGCAGCTTTATTATTATAAACAAAATAACCTAAGCAGGTTACTCTGCAGAGGGGGCACAACAGTGTTCATTCATTCAATGAATATTTATTGAGCTACCACTGTGTGCCAGGCACTGTACCAGATTCTAGAGATAAAGAAGTCCAGCTCATGCCTTCAAACAGTTTATAGCCTGGTTAGGAGAGTGATGGAAAATTTCAGTGTCCTATGGTAACTGTGATAATGGGCCTATGAATATGGTGCAAAGAGGACGAGGCTCCCCGTGTGCCTGAGAGAAGGGGGAAGAGTGAATAGAGGGAGCACATTTAGGTTTGGGCTTGAGAGAGGAATGTAAATTTGGGGATAAGTGGAAGCAGGGACATTACGGAAGGAGGAAGAACACCTGCAAAGGCAATCTAATGCTTGGTGTGTACTGGGAACCAGAATGAAAGGAAGAAGTGATAAAGAGTGAGCAGAGACAGGAATGGGACGGGCTAAGGAAGCACAAAAAGAGAAAAATCAGGGTGAAGAGATTTAGATATATAAAAATCAGGTAGAGGGTTGGAATTCTAGCCTCTATGTGGTCACTGGAATGTTAATAGTAGCTGTAATTACTATAATCACTTATTGAATGTTTGCTACACTCCACATAAGGCCGTGGGGCTTTACATATATTTTGCCACTCAATCCTCCCAATATCCTATGAATTAAGGATTAACTAATTAAAATATTTTAACATCTACTCTGTGTCTTGAATGACGGAACACAATGGTGAGTAAAAGCAGAACAGTTCCAGCCATCACGAAGTCCAGAAGCTAGATGGGGAGAGAGATCACTCATGATCCAATCGAAACAGCTGTGAACATGGTAGAGACAATGGAGAAGTGCATGGAAAGTGCCTATAAGATAATTTGTCTACCAGGGAGTCCACGAAGGTTTCACTGGGGTAGCAATGCTTGGATTAAGAGCTAAAGGGCAGGAACATCTCAACTGAAAGAGGTGGGCAGAGCATACCAGTCAGAGGTAAGTGTACAAACTTCTGTGGCTGCAGGAAACATGGCAAGTAGGAGAAACACATATGACTGGATGAGAAAGCACAGTGTGAGAACACACTGGACAGCAAGAGGGGTGTGGCTATACATGGATTTATAGGTCATTTATTTAACCTAAGAGGAACAGGAAGTTATTGAGGGATATAAATAAAGGTAGGGGTGTGTGTGTGTGTGTGTGTGTGTGTGTGTGTGTGTGTGTATGTGTATAAGACACAGATATGAAAATATAATTTTGGCTTTAGCATCAAGAGCTGATTAGAGGATGGAGTGATGTGGGTATGTGTAAACTAGTCAGGAGATTACAATAGTTATCCAGGTCATTGTTTCTTAATGATGGCAGCCGAGTAACACGGTGATGAAAAGGAACAGAGGAAGTGAAAGAAATTCAGGAGAAAAAGTGGCATACTTGGCAATAAGTCAGTTGTAGATAACAACTCCTCTTACATATGAGGAGACAGAGGCTCAGAGGGTAAAGTAACTAGTGTAAAGTCTGGTCTGGGGACTGGAGGTTGGTCTGACCCTAGAAAGCCTGTGTGTTTTCCATCATGCCACAGTCTCCTATGGATAGGAGGCAGTCTGCTAAAGGTGGTGTGGGGGTCACATGAACCTGATGGAAGGAGGTCTGTGGTGAGTTTTAGGGGAATGGAAGAAACTGATCAGTCACAGCAAGAGGATTGCCAAGTAGCACCGAGCAAATTCCCAGGATCAGACACCTAGACACCCGTGACAGCTCTCCTCTCTCAACTATGCCACCTCCTCACAAACACAGATCTGTGTGAGAGGAGGAGCAGAGGAAGAGATGGGTGAGCTGGAGCAGAAGGTAAGGGAGGTAAGTATGGTTGAAAAGAGGGTAGTTAAAAGAGAAGTACGCCTTGGAATTTAGGACAGGAGAACAAAGAAAACCAGGTAGGGGGCTGAGAGATTTGAAAGTATGAAATAAAGTAAAGCCAACTTCCTTGACATGACCTTAAGTTAGCTAGCAGGCCAATGTACTTCCAGGTTTTCAACCTTTTACTGTTTCTGGAATCTAATATTCTATCATCTGTTGCTTCTCTCAAGATAGAAATCTGTGGCCTGTGGATTTGAGGCCTCTGTCACTCACCAGCAATAGCACCTCAGGCAAGAAGTTAAATTGTGAACATCCGTTCCCTCATCTGTGAAGCAGAGTAGCAATATCTGTTTCTCACTGGTGATTGGAAAGATGATGCAGGATGAACTAAAATGTTCGTGAAAGCATCTAGCAAGAATTACTGCAGAAACTGTGTGCTAAACAAATTTTTAAAAGTAAATTAAATATCACATCTTCTTTCATACTTGGTCATCCTACTACTTGTATTTTCTGATTCATTCCTCACAAAGGATTAAAAAACTCAGAAAATAAGACATTTTCAACCAACATTGCCCTGCTCCCTGCTCTACTCCAAAGATACTCTTCTGTCTCATTTCCTCCCTCTTGTCTAGGGAAATTTCAAGAAAGTATTTTTTTTTTTTAATGTTTATTTGAGAGAGAGAGCACGTGCACAAACAGGGATAGGAGAGGCAGAGAGAGAGAGAGAGAGAATCCCAAGCAGGCTCCACACCACAGTGCAAGATCCCAACATGGGGCTTGATCTCATGAACCTTGAGATCATGACTTGAGCCAAAATCAAGAAAGGGCTGCTTAACCGACTGAACCACCCAGGCATCCCTCAAAAAAGTATTTTCACCCATGGTAACTAAAAAACAATTTTATACTGAATATACACCAGACATGTTTTACCTTGCCTTTTCATAGCTTAATTACCACTAATTCTAGCATCACTGAGAGGAACACTGTGCTTGATTTTCTAAACTTGAAATAAAAAGAAGTAGATAAAGGAGAGCAAAAAAGATAGGATGGGTCTAGGTTTCTTTTGCATCTACTGACATGCATGGTAAAGGTTTTACAGGGAAGGATGTTTAAAATTATTTGTTAAAATGAGACCTAAGAAGTGCCCAGCTCCCACAATACTGAAACCTTGAGATCTGAGCCCCATGTCCATGGCTAGATGGCACCCACCTTCATCTTCTGGAACTGTTGTTCCATGGTACGAAGGCTTTTCTTTGCTTCTTCATCTTTGCCCTCCAAATCAGCCTCTAGTTTTTTTATCCTTTTCTCCATAAAGTCCACTGTATTTCTATCCACTGTATCACCAGCTGCTGATGCAGCCAGTATTAAAGCAGGTAAAGAATTGGGATATCTTCTCTTTAGAATTCCTTCCATTTCCTTAACCTATTAAAATATTTTTGCATATACGTAAGATCACAAGTATATTAAAATTAAGCAGTTTCATGTATAAATTGAGATTATGCTCTATGAGTCATGTCTAGATTTCAAAGAGATGTTTATATCACATCACAAGACTGAATCATATGCACAGAAACACAGATTAATTTCAAATTTTGCATCCCTAGATTATCTGATTTTAAAACCCTATAGTTTAATGTCTAATTTAGTACTGGTTACTGGTTAATTTACAGAAATCCTCTTACATTTATCCGAAACAGATCTTGGGACTTTCTACTGTACTAGTAATAACCAATTTTTCTGAAGAGAAAGCTTTTTCCCTTCCCTTTTTCCCACAGACTCCCTTTGATGATTGTATTTATACTATCTATTGATTGAAAAATGACATCTGCATATGAATGTACAGAATTTGTACAATAAACACACAGCTTCCTAAGCACCTGCCCCTATGTGCAACAATCTCCACCCTACCCCAACTCTCCTACAAATGTCCCCCTCCAACTGAAGTTTATTTTTTTAAGGTTTTTAATGTTTATTTATTTTTTAATTTTTTTATTTTTTAAACTTTACATCCAAATTAGTTAGCATATAGTGCAACAATGATTTCAGGAGTAGATTCCTTAGTGCCCCTTACCCATTTAGCCCATCCCCCCTCCCACAACCCCTCCAGTAACCTTCAGTTTGTTCTCCATATTTATGAGTCTCATAAGTCCTCATATGAGTGAAGTCATACGATTTTTGTCTTTCCCTGACTAATTTCACTTAGCATAATACCCTCCAGTTCCATCCACATCGTTGCAAATGGCAAGATTTCATTCTTTTTGATTGCCAAGTAACACTTCATTGTATGTATATATACCACATCTTCTTTATCCATTCATCCATCGATGGACATTTGGGCTCTTTCCATACTTTGGTTATTGTTGATAGTGCTGCTATAAACATGGGGGTGCATGTGTCCCTTCGAAACAGCACACCTGTATCCCGTGGATAAATGCCTAGTAGTGTAATTGCTGGGTTGTAGGGTAGTTCTATTTTTAGTTTTTTGAGGAACCTCCATACTGTTTTCCAGAGTGGATGCACCAGCTTGCATTCCCACCAGCAGAGTAAAAGGGTTATCCTTTCTCCGCATCCTCGCCAACATCTGTTGTTGCCTGAGTTGTTAATGTTAGTCATTCTGACAGGCGTGAGGTGGTATCTCATTGTGGTTTTGATTTGTACTTCCCTGATGATGAGTGATGTTGAGCATTTTTTCATGTGTCGGTTGGCCATCTGGAAGTCTTCTTTGGAGAAGTGTCAATTCATGTCTTTTGCCCATTTCTTCACTGGATTATTTGTTTTTTGGGTGTTGAGTTTG